TATTTATTTATTTGACAGAGAGACACAGCAAGAGAGGGAACACAAGCAGGGGGAGTGGGAGAGGGAGAAGCAGGCTTCCTGCTGAGCAGGGAGCCGAGTGTGGGGCTCAATCCCAGGACCCTGGGACCATGACCTGAGCCGAAGGCAGACGCTTAACAACTGAGCCACCCAGGTGCCCTCATATTGTTACTCTTTTAAATGGTAAACCATTTATTGTATGGTGACTAACGTAACATAATTAAATTAAATTAAATTAAAAAAAATAAATAGTAAGCCGTTGTGATGAGCATGTAATTGTACCCACTGCAGATTTAAGTTTGCATGAGTAATGATGTTGAGCACATTTTCATATGTTCGTTGGTCGATTTTCATCTTTTTTTTGGTAAATTATTTCAAGTCTCTTTTTAATCAAGTTTTTAATGGAATAACTTTTTTATTGATTTCTATGAGTTTTTAATGTATTATGGACATGAGTCCTCTTTTAGAAACATAACTTGCAAACATCTTTGCCCAACCGATACCCTGTCTTTTCTATTCTCTTTATGGTGTCCTGTGAGGGGCAAAACTATTAATTTTTAAAAGTTCATTCTGTCAATCTTTGCTTGTATGGCTAGTGCTTCTTTTATATCCTAGTTGAGAAGTCCTGGCTATCCCAAAGTTATGAAGGCATTTACCTGTTTTCTTCTAGAGCTTGTTTTTAGATTTGTTATATAGGTCTGTGTGAAATTTCTATTTTTGTGTGTGGTATGAAGTGAGGGTTCTTTTCTCCCTATATAGCTGGCAGATTTTCTACTGTGACCTTGAGTTGATAATTCAAGGTCATGAGTAGTGGGTTTTTTTTGGTAAGCTCTTTAATACATCCATACAAGTCATACCACCTGACGGTCTTTGTAAAAACCGTAACTGTCATTGTTGTCACGTACAGCCACCCTATTAGATCATCTAAAGTGTTGCCCTCCGCAGACATACCATCTCATGCTGCACCAGTAATAATCTGAGTAATTGTGATGCCCTTGCTTGCTGTGGATTACCAGTTTACAGTAGCTACCAGGCAAAGAGGTGATCTGTGTATTCCTTAAATATGTGAGCAACTCAGTCCTAGAATCCAGGCTCGATATTCTATCTTCCAGGGATATTTCTAGTAAAAATCTGTGTCACTTATAGTCCTGGCAGGAAACATAATTCCACTCAAGTGTTTCACCTGGAGAGCCTTTATAAGGGGACTATTTGCAGAGCAGTGGACCAAGTTAAAGAAACCAACAATGATCTTAAAATAACCAGAGATTAGCAATGGGAGAAAAACCATTACAGTCCCTTTGATTTAAGGGATAATGCTAATAAATAGGTGATAGATGGATAGATAGACAGATAGACAGACAGAAGATAGTAGATAGGTAATAGCATCACCTAAGCCCAGTCGAAGCTGGAATGGAACAGGGGCCACCCTGCAAGAGGTATAGCGTAGGAGGCTCAAAGCTAGTGTCAGAACTACATCACTAAAGTAGGGAGAAAGGCAGGAAGAACTACCTAGACTTTTCTCTCCTTCCCTTGTTCTTACCTCCTCCTAGTGCCTTTCATTGGTCAAATCCAATCAGCAGACATCTGGAAACACAGCACAAATAATACAATTCATAGGGGTCAGCCTTCCAGTGTAGCAGGCAGAGAAAAGAAAGTCTGGGGATGGATCTGGAGGAACAGGCAAATAGAGAATAAATAGCACATATTGTGAAACAAAAAGAAGCAAGATTACTTTGGAAACAGTGAAAATAACACCAAAGAAAATGGAACTAAATTGTCCATATAAGTGATAAACTATTACATATCATAGATATAAGAAACACGTCCACATGTGTAATGAATAAATAAGTGGAAAGAATCTCCAATGATAAATATAGATGCTAAAGATTGAGAAACTGCAAGTTGGAGGAATTTCCAGTGATGAGCAGAGGTGGTGGCTGTTCATCCATCTACAGTTCCTAGCACGTTCCCTCTGATATGAATGGCTGGATGGGTGAATGAATAAATACTGAAAATAGAAAAAAATAAAGGAAACCAAAATTGACAATAATATTATGTTATTTTTTAAACTAAAAGCAAAAAACACATCTGAATTATTTGAAATAGAAAGTGTAAATCAATTTTAAAGGCACAAAAAAACAAGCCAGTCTTGGATTTTGCTGCCACAACAATGAATAGCAAGCACATATTCTTCTCAGAACCTTCAGAGAAAAATAATATTACCTAAGAATTTGGAACCAACTCAACCAGTTATTCATATGCAAAGCCAACAGAAGAATGTTGTAAAACCTCTATTTAGCCAAATCTGAATTCATTGATTGTAAGATGACTTTGTTCTATTAACACAAAGAAAAACTTCCAATTAAACTTTAACACAGTGTTTTAACAGTGATCCTGAGTGATGGGTGGATGACTCTGACATTATTTCCCCTGCCTACAATTGCATTGCTTGGTGTGGGATAAGGCGATCATTTTGAGTGTATTTCACTAGCAAAAGATAATGCAATTTCATCTACTTGTGAGTTTCTTCCTTTCTTAGGTCCTAGAAAACACTTGGTTGTGGTTGTACAAGGAAATGTGAGATTGCAGTAATTCTTGCAGTGTCGTTTGCTTTATTGATATATATATATATATATATATAT